AGAATGAAATAATGCCATTTGCAGCAACATGGATGGACCTAGAGATTTTCACACTAAGTGAAGTCAGACAAGGAAAGACAACCACATGATATCACTTATATGTGGAATCCAAAATATGATACAAATGAACTTATCTATGAAACAGAAACAGACACACATAGAAAACGAACTTATGGTTATCAAAGGGGAAAGAAGGGGAGGAATACATGTTTGGGATTAACATATACACACTACTATATATAAAATAGATAACCAACAATGACCTACTGTATAGCACAGGGAACTATACTCAATATTTTGTAATAACCTATTAGGGAGGAAAATCTGAAGAACATATATACTTATGTATGTATAACTGAATCGCTGTGCTATACACCTGAAACTAACCAACAATGCAAATCAACTATACTTCAATAAAATTTTTTTTTAAAAAACAAAGCCACATTCAAAGAATACAAAAAATACAAAAAAAAGAAAAAACTACACATATTTTGAAATTTATATCCAATGGTTTTATATATTCAATGTATTAATTAACAATATAAAATTAACATATTAAGTAATTTTCAAAACCATACAAGAAAGAATATTCCATCAATATTTGTATCTCATGAGCCTTATCTCACCAAAAAGTTATTTTATTTTTAAAAGAGAGAAAAGTATCATAAATGCTAAATAAAACAGATATCCATTTAAGCAATGAACTGCAAGCAACAGATTAAGATTTAAAATGAATGATACTAGTTTCTGTTCAATAGCTACATTCAAATTCTTTAACAATTACTGAGGCACCAGGCACTATTTTAGGTTGTGGAGACACAATAATCAACCAGACACAAGGCCTTTGCCATCATGAGGCTTTTATCACAATGTTTACAACAGATAATAATAAACAGATAATTAACAAGACACAGATTACAATGAGTGTGATAAAGGAAATAAGAGTGATGGGGTAGGTGGGGGAATATCAGGAAAGGTCTCTCTCAAGAGGCATCAGAGCTGAGACCCAAATGAGGGGAAAGCAGGCGTTAAGTGCAGAGCACTGGAGCGAGGCCCCATCACAGAAACAAGCCTGGTGTGGTAGAGGAAGCACAGCCAGTGTGACTGGAGAGCAGTGAGCCAAGGACAGTGACAGGACATGAGGTCAAGCAGGGAGACACGTGCCAGGTCACAGCAGGCCACAGGAAGGTGTGATAGACTTTCTTCTAAAGGTGATGGGCAACAACTGAAGGGTTTAAATAAACCAGGGCAGGGACGTGATCTAATTTACATTAAAGGATCACTCAGGCTGCCCTGTAAAGAACAGATTGCAGAGGGGCAAGAGCTGAAGCAGGAAGTTCAGTTAGAAGGCACCTGGTTAAGCGTAGATAGGATAAAACTCAGACAGAAGCAGATGAACATGGAATAGATTTTGGAATTAGAGCCCTATCACTTGCTGATAGACTGGATGAGGTGTGAGCAAGCAGAAAGAGAAAGAAAAACCAAGAATGCCTCAAAGAGCATGAATGCACTGAGACAAACTCACAGAGCTAGCATGGCACCTGCTGATTTATAATCCTAGGTGCCAGTGAGGAAGCACAAGGGATCCTGGCATTTGGTAAGGGGACCCGAGTGGAATACAAGTTATAACAGAGTGCTCGACTCAGAATCAGCAGAACTGGGCTCAGATCTGACTCCTTTCTGCTTTCTGACCTTAGGCCAGTCACCTCTTCCCATTTATAAATGGGAATGACAACACTACCTCACTAGATTGCTGAAAGGAATAAACATCCGGGGAAATACCTAGCAAGCAGGAAT